GAGGCTGAGGCAGAAGGATTGCAGTGAGTTCAAAGGCAACCTGGGCTATATAATGAGTTCCAGGCCCGAGCTACAACGTAAGACCTGAGAGAGAGAGAGAGAGAGAGAGAGAGAGAGAGAGAGAGAGAGGGAGAGAGAAAGAGAGAGAGAGAGAGAGAGAGAGAGAGAGAGAGAAGGAGGTGAAGGGGAGAGGGGAGTAGGCTACAAAGATTCTAGAGGGAAGGAGGAGGGAGGGAGAGAGGGGGAAGGGAAAGAGGAAAAGAGAGAAAAGAGAGAGAGGGAGGAGGAAGAGGAGGGAAAAAGTGAAGTAAACTTTGGTTCCCTTCTCGGTATCTTTCAGAATGTAAACCACATGATCATACAGATCCCCAGAAGTGCCCTCCCATCAAAGGGACTTTTCCTTACCCATTAACACTCTCCATAAAAGATGAACATGCAAAATTTCCAGGAATTTCCCCAAAGACTGCCTAGCCACCGAGTTCCTATGAAACCATCCTGGTCGAACTGCTGCCTCAGACTACCGGGAAAGCAGAAGTAGAATGCACGGTTTTAAAAGTGCTTGTTCTCGGGGCTGGAGAGATGGCTCAGCGGTTACGAACACTGGTTGTTCTTGCAGAAGACCCGGGTTCATATCCCAGCACCCACATGGCAGCTAACAACTGTTCGTAACTCCAGTTCAGGGATCCGACAGTCTCTTCTGTCCTCTGTGGGCTCTGTAGGACATGGGTGCACTTACCTACATGCAGACAATACACACATACACATAAAATAAAAAATAATTTAAAAAAATAAAAGTACTTATTCTCGACAAGCCACACTCCTTTTGGAAACACAATGAAGAGTCTGCTCCCTGGGGCCAGTAAAGTACAAGTGGGTGAAGAGGGCGTCTGCTTGTGAGCAATTCCAGTTCCTAGAGCCAAGAGCCAGACTGCTGAGGATGATGGTGACTACCGAGGCATGCCTGGGCTTTCTTTCCCTACTCTCGTCTTTTTTTCTGAGACAGAGTCTCCCTGTAGCCCCAGCTAGAACTTGCTATGTAGACCAGGCTGGCTTCAGTCTCACAGCCTCCAGAGTGCTGGGACTAAGGGCATGGTTTGGTCCTCCCTAAGCTTTTCAACAACCTGGTTTCACAGGGTCCTGGTGACAGATCGATCTCTTGTAAAAGAAGTTACAAATAACTGTCTTTTTTCTTTCCTTCCATGCATTAAGTCTATCTTAGTTTTACACACTATGGAAATAGCATGCTGGTGAATTCCTACGTGAACCCCCTCTCTAATAAATCTCTAGTTGGAATGGCTGATAGGATTTTCTTTTTAAAGTCCATCATTTAAACTATGGGTCTTCTAGAATTACACCAAGGACAAGTTTTCCAGAAGCTTTGGCCTCACGAGTTACTAATAACTACCTGGGAGAAATTTTAAGCTGAAATCATGAAGAGCTATTTCAAGGAAGGGAAAACAAAATATATCTTTCAAAAGAGAAGAAAGAATTCAGCTGGGCCACCTGGGGGGAAGGAGTGTGGACACCTGTGCCTCCAAAGTAGCTCAACATGTTAGGGAGAGCCAAGGAAGCAGAGAGGTCAACTCTCAACACAGAGGAGAGAGCTCAGCCAAAGAAGGCTCAGAAAAGCATTCTGAGGGAAGACCCGAATGGCTGAGGAAGCACAATGAACACGACCTGGAATAATTCATACTGAGCGGAACACTGTAGTCTGTTGTTTGCTTGTTTTTAAGTGGCTAGAGCTGGAGAGTGGTTAAGAGAGGTTGCTGGTTTTGCAGAGGACCAGAGTTCGGGTCCTAACCACCCACATTGGGTGGCTCACAACCACTTGTAACTCCAGCTCCAGGGGATCTGACTGACACTCTCTTCTCAGGCACCTGCAGATACAGACACAGACACAGACACACACACACACACACACACACACACACACACACACACACACTCACAAATAAAAAATAAATTTTTCCTTAAAAGTCTGGAAATAAAGTTCTTTTCGCTATGTGGAACAGGAGTGCTCTAAACAACCATTTGACTTTTCAGAAGTGACATTGGGAACTTAAACTTCAGGCCTCTGCTAAAAAAAAAAAAAACCCACCCACTTAAGTTTTTATGGCCAACAGGTTTTCTTTGGTGACCGTTTTTACTTTGCAGACCATAACTACAAGCCACCTGGTTTGGTTTTTCTCACTGTTTCAAAAACAATCTCAATTTGGGTTTCATTTCACTGACAAAGAAGGAAAGAGATTAGCCTATGAATATGTTCGTCCTTGGTTCTCAGTTCCATATTCCCCACCACTCTGCTCAAAATGTGTCCCCTAGTCTCCTTAGTTGCTTTGTTAGGTTATTTCTAGTACTTTCTTAGAAAAATAAAGAAATAACCCTCCTTGGGAGAAAAGAGTAGAGGGTCTCTAAGGCTATCCACCAGGGCTAGCCAATTTCAAACTATGGGACGTTAAAGAAAATGCACCTGTTTTTAATCCAACTCTGACTGCAGAATCTGGTTTATGGAGGAAGGGTGTGTCAGGGGAAAGTTCAAGGTACTGGGAGCTTTACAGGATTCAAAGAGGAAGAGCCGAAGCTCTGCAGAGCCCTGTTTTACCAAGAAGAAGCTGTCAGATCACCCCAAGCACGTGCTGCTGGCTTAAAATATGACCCTGTGAGCAGTTTCTGAGTGTGTGAGGTACACAGCCCACTTTTAGAGAGCTGTGCACCTGTTTGCACATGAAATAGGGAACATGCATCCTGACAACCACCTCTTACCTCTCAGTCTCAGTTTACAGTGACACACTCTTCTGCATCTCACTGGTACTGTACAGACAGACAGATGTGGTCTACTTCACATCTATAAGTCTGCAGAAGTGTTTTCATGCACATCCAAGTCTGTGTCTTTTAACAACGGGTACTGCATCTAAAGACAGAGTATGTCAAAACCCGCGTAAAACCTGAATGAAACAGTGCTAGGAAAAAATAATGGAGTCAAGAAAAAACTAAAGACTATGCATCACACCCACCATGAGCACAGCCATCTCCAGGCCAAGAAGACAGTAGGTAGGTAAATTCAGAGGCGTGTGCTCCTTATTTTTTAGGACAGTGAATTTAAGAATAAGATAGTGGAAGAAGGGAGCTGAAGAGTTGGCTCAGCTGTTACGAGCACTGGCTGCTCTTGCAGATGGACCCAGGTTCAGTTCCCAGCACCCACAAGGCAGCTAACAACTGTCCATAACTACAGTTCCAGGAGAATCCAACACCCTCTCTGACCTCTGTGGGCACTGCACAACATGGGTTCACTTATATTCATGTAGGCAATATACTCATACAGGTAAAATAAAAATTTTTTTAAATAATTTTTAAAAGACAGTGGAAATAGTATATAACCTCTGCCCATGTGAACCATTAAAAATAGAACCCTCAAACAGGTACTATGGTGCAATGGATAACTCATTGGACTTCTAAAAATAGAACCCTCAAGGGGCTGAGAGATGGCCCAGCACTCTCTTGCAGAGGATCATGGGCTCAGTTCTCAGCACCCACATGGCAGCTAACAACCATCTGTAACTCCAGTCCCAGGAAATGTGCTGCCCTCTTTGGACCTCCTTGACCATTGCATGCCAAGAGTACACATATACATGCAGGCAAAACATCCATCCACATTAAAAAAAAAAAAATAGAACCCTCAACTTTGAGAGGTAGCTTTTTAAACTGCAGATGGGTGTGACCCTTGTCAAAGTTGCAGCAATGTTTTTTGTGTGTGTGTCTGTGTGTGTACACTCATGCAAGCATGCACCAGAGGACACCACAGCCTCCTTTGAGACAGTGTCTTCGTTGGCCTGGAGTTCACCAATTAGGCTAGACTGGCTGTTCAGCAAGCTTCAGGGTTCCTCCTGTCCTGGCACTGGGATTATGAACACCTAGTACTTTTAAATTGGCACTGGGGATCCAATTCAGGTCCTCATGTTTCCAAGGTCAGTGTTTTATCTACTGAGCCATCTCTCCAACCCTACCCACGTTTTCTAAGTCAAAATTGGTCTCTCAAAGGTCTGAAAAATTTATGCTACCCTTGGTGAATCTGGCTAGCAGCAATCACAAAGCAACCACATCCCCCTCTTTAATTCTGCTTTCTTTGCTGCCCTTGAGAGGATGTGTTGGAAAGACAGGAGCAGCTCACTGCTGCTTTAGAAAACAGTCCACTGCCATTTGTTTTGACAGCAGGGAAGCAAGAGCCAAAGGCCACTTTGTCCTACCTCCTGGGCTCAACCGTGCTACAGCAGACGCTCTGAACCAAGGAGGAGCGGCCCCTTGGCAGCGGCATCTGGTTTAACTGAACGTCTTTTCATAAAGTCAGAGAAACCAGGGTTGACCACACCAATAACCCTCCCACCTGAGAGAGAGCCTGTTTGTTCCGGAAGGCAAAGCCCAGCCTTATTTAATTAACTGCAGGCAGTCAGCGTCCGCCTGCCCGAGGTAACAAGAAAGTTCTGGTCTACAACAGTAAAATCAACCAGGATCTTATCAGTCCTGTCTCCAGCCAGAGGCTTCACTAGGAGCCAACCTAAAAACACCCGATTTTCTTTCTCTCTGGAAAGATCTTTTTCCCTAGGAAAACGATCCTGTTGCGAGGCGGAGCCTCCGCCTTCGGAACTTTCCAGGGCTCCTGGGTTGGGGTCAGTAGGAAAGCCGGTCCAGTCCACACCCATCGCCCACCCCGCGGGATCGCGGCCCCCGTAGTGGGGGCCTTTCTTTTCCCGCACGAAGCCTTCTCTTACCCTTCCATCCAGAGCGCTCGGGGCGCGGCCCGGGGCACAGCAGCAAGGCGTCTGTGTGTGACACGTGTCCCCGCGCGCCCGGCCCTCCCCGGAATCCCCACCCCCGGCCGCCTCCTTGGGAGCCCGGGATGGAGCCCAGGTGTGCGCGCGGGGACACGGGGCCGGGGTCCCAGAGGACCCAGGAGGAACGCTGGACTACAGGGGGCAAAGATGTGGCATCCCGGGAGTACCCACCTGTGGCGCGGCTCCCAGGCCAGGCCCCGGACGCGGTGCCACACCGGCAGGTCCAGCACTTCCTCGCCTTGGGGCATGGAGCGATAGCGCGGCGCGTGGCGCAGACACCTGCCTGGGTCCCCTCGGGTCTCCTCCGCCCCGATGCCCGGCTCTGCGCCCAGCTCCGCCCCGGGGTGTCTGCGGGAGGCCAGCGAAGCAGAAGCCCTTACAAAGGGAAGTCTCGAGCCCGCGGTCCACCCCGCCCCCGGCGGCCCGCCCTGCTCTCGGTCCCTGCTGTCTCCATCCCTTCCTGGACGTCTCCAGCGCTTGACTCCCTCACCTTTACAGACAGACGTTCATTGCATTTGTCCGTTTCTTTTGAGTTCACTGTATTGCCCAGGCTGGCCTCTAACTCAGAGCAAGCCTCCTGCCTCAGATCCCAAGTGGAGGGATTACCGGTGTGTGCCACCACTCCCAGCTTGTCTGTTTCTTTGGTCTGTATTTAGATGTTTTGTGCGCATACTAAGAATCCAGCCCAGTGCGGGTACTGAGTTTTCCCGGATGGGAAAGCAGAAGACCTTCCTCCTAGGAAAACGCAAGTTCGTGGGGACAGGTTCTTTCGCTCCGGAATGTCTTTATTCTGAAGTGCAGGATCACAGAACTCCCTGACAAGGAGTTAAGATGATCAAAGTGCGGTGGTGCGTGAAGCCAGGAGCCCATTTTGGGCCTGGCTGCCTGTGTGGCCTTCCGCGAATGACATTTTGGACAAGACCAACTCAAAGCTTCATTTTCCTAATCTTCATGAGGTAGAGAAGAAACAAAACCTCCAAGTTCCAGAGGACGTGCAGCTAAGATAAGGGTTCAGAAAGTCCCCAGGTTTAGCTAGGGCAAAGAAACAGTTGGGATAGAACCGACCTCTATAAAAGCATACAGAGCTGACACTGTGAATGATTTTAGAGACTGAGTCTCTTAGTCCAGGCTGGCCTTCAACATGCTGTGTAGCTGAGGCTGACTTTGAACTTCTGATCTTCCTGCTCAACCTCCCAAGTGCTGAGATTACAGGTATGCACCAGAACTATCTTTTAAATATCACTTTGAAAAGACTAGTAGGCAATAACACGTTCTTTCAGAGTCCCTCATGTCAGAAATGTCCATTGGGTGCAAAGAGCCTAGAAGATACTGTTTGAGCCATCTCAGCACCCACACTAACATGCTCAGCATTCTGTAGAAGGTCACCTCCCTTTAGAAAAGAGGAAACAGGACCAGTGACTTGATTCAGCCAGTAAAGGTGCTTACCTCCAAACTTGTCCATCTGAATTGGATCCCTGGGACCCACATGCTGAACAGAGGGAGCTGACTCCAGCAAGTTAGCCTCTGACCCCCACAAGCCAGCTGCTGTTTGCATGAGTCCACTATCCCAAATAAATAAATAAATAAATAAATAAATAAATAAATAAATAAATAAATAAAATTTTTAAAAAGCAAAGAAAAAGGAAGAGGGGTGGAGGGAGAGCAAGGAGGAAACAAGTTCAGAAAGGTTGTTACACCCTTAAAGTCCCCCACAGAGCACTAGGAGGTCCAAGCTTTCTATTCAGTATTTCTATTTGAATATCCAAAACCATTCTCAGCATATCCATCCAATGATAGAGACAGGATTGAAACATTCATGACCCTTCAATAGCTTTCTTGATCCCAAGGAATTTCTCTAAACAGGTTCACATCTATAACAATCTACAGTTTCACAAAGTGGAGGGAAAAATACATTTATCTAAATAGCTGTAATCAATGAGGCATTTATTATGAATAAGTATAAAAGCATCAAGGAAAAATAAGGCTATCAGGGCATGGTGCTACAAGCCTTTAGTCCTAGCACTTGGGAGGCAGAAGCAGGCAAATCTCTATGAGAGGGAGGCAAGCCTGGTATACATAGAAATTTCCAGACTAAGGCTGCAAAAAATTAAAAACTAAGAAAAATATAATAAGGCTAGCTGTGGTGTCTCCTGCTTGTAATCATAGAACTTGGGAGGCTGAGACAGGAGGATTGCAGTGAGTTTGAGAACAGCCTGGATTACATAGTGATTCCAGTCTAGCCTGGGATGCATGGCAACACCCTGTCTGGAAATAAAAACAACGAAACAAAATATAGTGAATAAGAAAACTCTTATAGAACACTGTAGAGGAGAAAGTTTCCAAAGGATGATGCAGTGGTCTCAGCCCTCACTCTCCACATGACCCCTAGGCTGCCTCAGTACAAATAGGACTCTGTATACCTAAAAAGAGCATGCTACCGATATGGCTGGTCCACATGTCACTTTAAGTCGCAAGTCCATATGTCACTCTATAAGTCGCAGGGGCCTAACAAAAATATTTAACCAAAGTGGAGGAGGGAGCGAGCCATGGGTAGAGAGGAGGAGAATAAAAATGAAAAACAGTTGGAGTCAGACAACAGGAGGGTTTGAATATCACGCACACGGAGAGACGTGCATTACTGTTTCTGGGCACCGAGTCCAACCACTTCCAATGAGCACCAAAGGCATTATGTTACCCCTCTTACAAAGCCATTTGTTTATGGTGAAGAGCCAGGTTCATTTCTCACTGGGCAGCAAAGGACATCATTTTGTGCTCTGTTCCTTTCAAACGCTGGTGCTCTGCTTTATGTACCATTAGTATAAATTTTGTGCCCTGACTCAACTTTGGCATAGCTGAGTAACACAAGAATCTTTTGCTCAGTAGTGTACTGTGTATATTTTAAACTTGCAAACCAGAGTCACTAGTTTCCTTAGCAGGTTTCCTCCTTATGAAAGGTTCACAGATTCACACTGTTTAAGAGATCTTTTTTTAGTTTTCCAGAACATGTAAGCCAGGCTAATAGTAGACATGCAACAATTTTCTAAGACAGGCAATATTTATTGGGAACTTAATGTGGAATCAGAACAGAATAAAATAAAAGAAAAATGGTACCTTTTATTTATATAGTTTCACATCCTTTCCATTTTTTGTTGATGTGCAAGGTAAACAGACCGTGTTTTGCCAGTTCTAAACACTGAATACGTTATTCAATCCTTAACCTCTTAACTTGGTCCTCCTTGGGTAGAAGTCTTTCCTTTTGATGTTGTACAATTAAAATTAAAGATAGTGCCATCCATGGTGGCAGACGACTTTAATCCCAACACTCAGGAGGAGAGACAGGTGAATCTCTGTGAGATGGAAGCCAGCCTGTTCTACATAGTAAATTCCAAGCCAGCTAGGGCTACGAGGAGGCCCTGTCTCAAACAGACCAAAAAAAAAATAAGTATCAAAATCTTTACGATTTGTGTTTTTCTGATACTCTGTAAGGAGCGTTTACCCTTAAGAGCCACTGTATGTATCCTCCATTTTCTGTAGTATGTTTCTTTTATCCTTCATATCAAATTCTATTGTGTTTCATCTTTGTACGGGTTGGGAGGCAATGACAGCTCAATTTTTCTATGTGAAGTAATCAATTCAGCAAAACTATCTTGTTGCTCAGAGTTTGGTGGTCTTTCTGTAAGTATTTAAAACTCTGAATTGCACCGTCTCTATTATAACTGCCATCATAGATAAGATGCAAACTAGAGAGAGTGATTGTGTTTCACTGATCATGGAAATATTATTTTCAGTTTTAAAAATAGATTTTGTTTCTTAGAGCAGCTATACGTTCAAAGCAAAGCTGAGCAGAAAGTACACAGGGTTCCCTTGTGTTATCTGCCCCCCCAACACGTCCCACACTAGTCATCTCTCTCTCCTGCAATCACTGAGCTGCAAACCAGAAAGTGTGCTGCCACCAGCCTCCAGATCGGCTGGCTCCTTGAACTTTTCAGCTTCCAGAACTGTTAAGAACAACCTTTTATTGCCTGGTTTAAGTTACTAAGTCTATGTACTGCAGACAGAATTGAGCCCACCATTACCCTAATAACCCTCTGTGTTCCATCTATTTATCCCTCCCTTTCTTGTGACCCCCCCGCAGGAACGACTTGTCTTTTCACAGTCTTCATTGGCTGGAATCCTCCAGTTTGCAGCACTTTCAGATTGACTTCTTTCACTTCATAATATGCATTTAAGCTTCCTCCATGTCTTTGCATGACCTGGTAACCCACTTCTTTTTAGCACTAAATAGTATTCTATTGAATGGACATACCACAGCATATTTACCCATTCATTTACTGAAGGACATCTCGGTTGCTTGCATGTGTTAGAAATTTTGAGGACAGCTCTTGTAAACACCTATGTGAACGTTCTTTTTTTATGTGAACATGTTTCAAATCCTTTGGACAAGTGCTTAAGAAGCACCACTGAGTAAGGATGTAGTTTTGAAGAAACTGTATTTCCAACTGACTAGCGTTTTGCACTCTTATCAATAATGAATTAGAATCCCTGTTCCTCCAACATTTGGGCTTTTCAGTGTTTGAGTTTAGACTGTTACAGTAAGTAAGCATGCATTGGTTGTTTTAATCTGCAGTTCCCTAGTGGCATGTGATGTTGGATGTGTCGTGTTTATTTAACATCTATCTGTATTTTCTTGTAAGACATTCTCTTGGGTTACCGTATCCATTTTAATGGTGTGTTTATTTTCTTATTGTTGGATTTGAGTTCTTATATGTTTGCATATTATCAGCTATGTCTTTTGCAAGTAATTTCCCCACTCTTCTCTTTCTCCTGATAGTGTCTTTTGCAGAGCAGCAGATTTTTATTTTAATGAAGACCAATTTATCCATTATGTCCTTTCATGGATCTTGCCTTTGGTGTCGAATTTAAAAAAACAATTGCCAAACCCAAGGCCACAGAATTTTCTCTTATGTCATCAAAGTGTTTTATACTTTTGTGTTTCAATTTATGCTTATGATCCATTTCGGGCTAACATTTGTGAACAGTATAAGCTCTACCTCTAGATTCTTGTTTTTCCACATGAATGTCCAAGGTTATGGGCGCTATTGATTGAAAAACTGCCTTTCCTCCACTGTGTTCACTCTGCTTCCTTGTGAAAGAGCAATTGACTATATTTACGTGGTTACATTTCTGGGCCTTCTGTTCTTTTGTGTATTAGCTACTTTTCTGCTACTGTGATAAAACACCATGACCAAGGAACTTATAGAAGGAAGAGTTTATTGGGCTTAAGGTTCCAGAGGGATAAGAGTCCAGCATGATATGGGAGATGTGGCAAGAGC